ACATACAAACACGAGCACTTGATGAAATGCAGGCAACGTGGTTACAAAGTGACCAAAAACAGCAGAAACACCCGAGATCAGATTAGTGTATATGAGGCCTATTCCGGGCACACGCACTATGCCAAGGCTAGGCCCTGAAGAAAGTATCCGATTCATCGACACTTTGTTCTCATCGTCGTATTCGTGTTTCTTCATTGTCCCGTAGTACCATGTATACATCGAACACATAAAGAGTATAGAAAGCACGACGGGTATCCACCCACCTTCGTGAACTTTGCTGATTGATGCTGAGATGTAAAGTAGTTCAATGGACCCAAAAAACATGAAAAACGCTATGGCGCCGATCAACCTCTGCTTCCAAACGATTAGTATCACGAGTGCCATCAAGCAAGTCGAGACAAACATAACAATGGTGACTGCCAGCCCTATAAAAACATCAAAACAATCAGATTTCTCTGTCATTTGATTGGATATTTAAGCCCACAGACAATGCTAAATGCTAAGACTTGTGTACCATATGCATGGCCTAACATGTTTGTATCTCTCAAGCCAATTGTCACAGCTAAACAAAGGCACATTAGCATCCAATTAACTTCTGGAATATAAATTTGCCCACATATCTGGTTTGAAGTGTGCATAGTTTTCACATGGGGGAAGCAATTCAGAGCACAGCACTGGTTTACGAGCGAGAACGTAGCCGAAATCACGGCCTGACTTCCTACAACAGAAGCAAAAGTGGCCACAACGAACACAGGCCAAAACACCGCTTCTACACCGACAAATAATGTAAATGCCATGGTAAGACAAGGACATATCAATATGTATAAACTCAATACTACGAACTTCCTACCAGGTATCGCTTTGTAGAAGCTTCTCTGAATATCTTCATGATGCTTAGAAAGGAATGCAGCCTCACCCAGATAAGCAAGAATCAATGAGGGATATACAATAAATGTGAAGGCAATCTGTGGTTTAAATGAAGAGTTTACATTAAGCAAGTGACGGGTTTTGCTTATTATATTCGAACAACGTGAATAGAGTTACCTTGATCGAAAGCGTAGAGAAGTGGCCTAAATCAGCAAACATTGCCTCCACACCTATGATAATATCCCATAAGAGACTATCGAAAACATGAAATTTTATGATTCGAGATGAACAAGTACCTGTTATCGAGAGAACGACTCCGCCTAATGAAATCCAACCTTCAACGCCCGTGCTATGAAGGAACTTCAGCATATAAACAGGAGAGAGAGCATGGTATATACGCGGATTCCACTTGATAATATTATACATTCCGATAACACTAATAGAGACGAGCCATGTCGTGATGATTGGAGCAAACATGAAAGAAACTTTGTGTGTCCCACAATGCTGAAGGGAGAACAATCCAACTAAGACGACGCACGAGATTAAAACAACATAATCTGAAAGTGGGAAACAACAATTTCGGGACGATTTAATTGTTTTGCTATATTTGGAAACGCGACGATAGAGAGAATGAGACTTACTCTCATGGAGTCCAGTGATCTTATGTTTGACTCCAGAGACTGCTGAAAGAACTGAAAGCACCAATAATAAATGTTAGGATGATTAAGTGTGAGATTCCACCTCGATTGGGGAGGAGAACGAAGCATTCTTTACAAGGGTGTGAAAACCTTTCCCTAACAGACACGTTTTAAAAACCTTGAGGGTAATCCTGAAAGGGAAAGCTCAAAGAGCACAATATCTGCTAGCGGTGAGCTTGGGCTGTTACAAATGATACTAGACACCGAGCAATGTGCCAACGAGGAGGTTGTTCCCTGAAGGGGGTTAGACACGAGGCGGTGTGCCAATAAGAACGCTAGGCCCCAAAGGAGGGTGGATTTGGTAGGGGTCTCACCTCAATTGGAGAAAGGAACAAGTGCCAGCAAGGACGCTGAACCTTGAAGGAGGGTCATTGGTTGGGGAGGAGAATGAAATACCCGAAACACCCTTTACAAGGGTATGGAAACCTTTCCCTATCATATACGTTTTAAAAACTTAGGAAGCCCGAAAGGGAAAATCCAAAGAGGACAATATCTGGTAGCGGTGGGCATGGGCCATTACACTAAGCTACAGAGTTGGTGCAATGCAAGGACCTGACCTGATATTGCAGGAGTGAGCACTCCATCACCAATAGCCATGGAGGTTCCGAAGAGCACGAACACCAAAAAACCTTTTCGAAAAGACGGGTGCAGCTGAAAAAAAGATTTTAGAGCAGCACTTGGTCTTGTCTCCAAGCTTTCCTTCATTTCATATGCAGATAACTTTTCATCAGCAGGCTCTTGATTTGGTAGAATGCATAATCTAGCATGCCTGCAGAGAAGAGAGTACAGAGCAAAGGTACCCCCTGCATCACAAGCAATGGTATGAACTAATCAACTTTGCTTTTCTTCCTATCTATTTATTACACTTCAAGCTATTAAATCGTTTACGATCACAGATTTCCAAGCTCTCGATAGAAAATAAAAGAATCATATCTCCACGATTGTAACAACTCAAACCCACTGGTAGCAGATATTGTCTTCTTTGGACTTTCCCTTTCGAGCTTACTCTCAAAGTTTTTAAAACGCATCTGCTAGGGAAGATATTGTCGTCTTTAAGCCCTCTTTAGGGAAGATATTGTCCTCTTTAGACCCTCTTTAGGGAAGATATTGTCCTCTTTAGGCCCTCTTTAGGCTTTCTCTTTCGGGCTTACCCTCAAGGTTTTTAAAATGCATGTGCTAGGGAGAGGTTTCCACACCTTTATAAAGGGTGTTTCGTTCTCCTCCCCAACTGATGTGGATCTCACAATCCACCACCCTTCAGGGCCTAGCTTCCTTGCTGGCACTCGGGTTTCCACACCCTTAAAAAGGGCGTTTCGTTCTCCTCCCCAACTGATGTGGGATCTCACAATCCACTCCTCTTCAGAGCCCGGCATTCTCGCTAGCACTCGGGTTTCCACTACGTTCTCCTCCCCAACCGATGGGGGATCTCACAACAATGGTATAATATTATTCGAAGTCTTTAACAATTAGACCGTCCTAACAATGTTTATAATATTGGATGAGTCGAGAAACGTTACCTTCACCGTTATCGTCGGCTGACATGACAATGAAAACGTATTTGAAGAGAGCAATGAGTGTAAACGTCCAGAAGATGAAGGATAAAACCCCATAAATCTCTTCATCATTCTCATGTAAACTCAATTTCCCAGAGAATGTGGTTTTATAAACATATAGAGGTGACGTGCTGAGGTCGCCGTAAACGACTCCTAAACTTTGGTAAGCCAGCATAAGCACACTTCTGTAGGACTCATTCTTCACATTCTGATGATAAAAACATATTAACACACATTGCTAGCTACAAACATGATCAACAAACATATTCCAACCTAAAATGTCAAGAAAATAAGTTTGATCCTTCCAGAAATCAAGCATTTACGTCGCCATTAACATATGTTTATAGCAACTCAATGGCAGGAGGGATATCACTCAGGCGATCATAACCAAGAAACAAAGTGGTTTATCATTTAGATCTGATAAAAACACTCAAAACAACCAAGAATCTAAGAGAAAACCCATCAATCCATCAAGATTCTCAAGCATAAGAACTCATCCCAAATTTCAGTATAACAGAGATTTTCAAGGAATCAACCATATAGAATGAACTGTATATGTCTAAAAATGAATATGTATAAGCATTTTACTCAAACCCAAAAGGAAACCCAGTTCCCAAATAGACTCATAAACAACACGATCATACAAAAACAAAAACCCATATAAATTTCTTCAAGAAAGCATTGGTTTGAGGTATGAAAAGGGCAGAAGAATTAAGAATACCTTTGAAGAAATGCCTTCAGTTTCAACATTTTCCTGTGATGGGTTGTTGTTCATGGCTTCAGAGGAAAAGAGAGAGGCAAAAATGGTGAGTAAGGGACAAAGCTACATGACCCAACCAAGTAAGCATAACCTTTGGCAATGGGAACCAAAAAATAATAATAAAAGACTATTTTATTACCTAAAATATCAATTTGGCCTTTTTTTTTCCTTTCTTCTTTTTGAATTTGGCTTTGTTTTGGGAAATATTTATAAAAGCTCAATTTTTTAAAAATAATTATTGGGTTCTTGGTTGTTGGTTTCTTGTTTTGTAATTATGTTTTTTTTTTTTTTTTTTTTTTTGAAAATTTGTAGATGACAAAAACAAATGAACACATAAATGCTAGTTTTGTTTACGGGCTTAATTTTTTTAAAAATTGAAAATTGGAACCTTCAATTCTCAAGAAAATTTTGGTATTTAAGCATTGAATTATGGATTGATTTAGATTTTGAGGTAAATGATTGAAAATAGATCGCGAAAATTGGGAATGTTGTCCGTTGTNTATATATATATATATATATATATACACATAGATAAGTATTGCATAATGCATGCAACATAGTTGTAGATAATTATCCATAGCAACATGCATATCTGATATAATTTACAATGCCTTGGCGTGCAAGACATTTGTTGAGATAAAGGGTACATTGAGATATTAATGAAGCTACGATTTTTTTTTTTTTTTTTTTTTTTTTGAAAATTTGTAGATGACAAAAACAAATGAACACATAAATGCTAGTTTTGTTTACGGGCTTAATTTTTTTAAAAATTGAAAATTGGAACCTTCAATTCTCAAGAAAATTTTGGTATTTAAGCATTGAATTATGGATTGATTTAGATTTTGAGGTAAATGATTGAAAATAGATCGCGAAAATTGGGAATGTTGTCCGTTGTCCTTACCACTAATTTCTTATGGAAGAACAGTGGAGAAATCCCTTTGAATGATTGCTGAAACAGCGAAGACGAACCGATAAGCTTTGAAATTCTCTGATTCTGATCAGAAGAAAGCGATACGAAAAAGGACAATTTGAAACGATGAGTACCCATATCAATTCAATCGAAGTCGCCATAGAAGAGGAAGAAGCAGATGTGAGTCTTTTTCTTTCATTACGCTTCCATGGCCGACGGATAAGAAAGGCAACGCCATTTCTTTCACTATCATTGTCCACCGTACAACAAGATTGACTGCAACAAACTTTCAATCTGATTGGCAAAGCATTTAATCCAATTGGGTCACTCTCAAATCCGTAACAGATCTCTGAAATTTGTGATGCCGATGGTATACCTAACTCATAATCCTTCTCTGTCGTTACTTTCAAATCCGAGTCTGCGATGCAGTTTACTTTGGGAATTGAAGACGTGGTACGGTGGGAGAAATGGAACAATCAAAGATATGGTTGTTAGAAGGTATGACGATTTCTCATAGTTTTTTAAACTCATTCAATTCGCTGGTTCTGTTTCTGCCCATAAACTGTTTGTGAAAATGCCTGACTGAATAGAATCAAATAGTTTGGCTAAGAGAGTGTTAGCGAGCTGGATATGGCCCTGTGAAAATGCCCACTTGAGAAAAAACATCTCTCAATCGTCTAGATTAAGCCTCTGGTTCTGTTTCTGCCCATAACCTGTTTGTGAAAATGCCTGACTGAATGGAATCAAATAGTTCGGCAAAGAGAGTGTTAGAGAGCTGGATATGGTGGTTGAGATTGATAATTGAAGTAAAAACATCTCTCGATGGTCTAGATTAAGCCTCTGGTCCTTTAAACATCTTGAGCTCTTAATCCAGACCTGTAGTTCATCTCTTCTTTCATGTTTTTCAGTTCTTCTGATTTCACTTTCTGTTTAATCTCCTGCCATTGGAATGTTCTGCAACTATCAAATCATATAAATGGCATCCAATTCTCCCTCTCCATAGATTTGCAGTTGCAAGCTGGTGGTGTTGAGAATTGAGAATTGGATTCGCCTCCACCTCATTGGGGTGGCTTGGTTTGATCTATTCCAGATTGTGTTGGCTTATTTCTATGTATGTAAATGGCTCTTTGAGATAAGATTGTTCATAACTTTGATTCATTCTGCTAAATAATTGAGATCTCTGAAGCCTTGTTTGGCTTGTTAAGGTCATTATCATCTGGTATGAACTTCTGAAGAATGGTGGAAGCTTGTTTGTTCTTTCATAAAAATGGAAAATGGATGTGATATATGAAGCTTCAGCAATTATGAGTGAAGCTCAAGAACAGGTATGGAGCCTCCTTCAGCAGCCATTCACTTTCTTTTATTTAGATACTCCAAATATTAAAAGATCATACAGATAAGGTGAAATTTTAGTCACTATATTCTTATCCTTACTGATTTATTTGCATTATTATTTTCCATATTCTTTATCTTCATATCATATTATTTGGGGCTTTGATGTGACATTTTATTATTTTCATTTCGTCCTATCATTTTAATAGCCGCTCAATTATTGTGTAATGTTATAACAATTTTTTTTCTTTCAAAAACATCTTAGTTTAGTCCTATTCTATTTTTGGTATTTACCCTTTTGCATTAAAAAATTATTTTCATCCTTTCATTGAAACATAATATCTATCTGCCTCGGACATGTAATAGCCCAAACTCACTCACCGCTAGTAGATATTGTCCATTTTAACCTATTACGTATCGTCGTTAGCTTCACAGTTTTAAAACGCGTCTATTAGGTAGAGATTTTATCACCATTTAAGGAATGTTTTATTCCCCTCTCCAATTGACGTGGGATCATACAATCCACCTCCCTTAGACATCTAGCATTCTTGCTAGCACACACCGCATGGTAATAGTCTAAGTCCACCGTTAGCAGATATTGTCCGCTTTAGCCTACGTGTCATCGTCAGCTTTATGACTTTAAAATACGTATACTAGGAAGAGGCTTCTATACCTTTAAAAGAAATGTTTTATTCCCTCACGAAGGTGAGATATTAAATTTGAGTTGGTTGCAGTAAGTCATGGGTCAGATTTGGCAATGAATTTGAGTTCTTATGGAAAAGTATTAAAATTTTGATGCTAAGGCAGATTAAAATAACATGAGTTTAGATACGTTGATTATTTGTTTCGTCCCAAATTTAGGCAAGGAATTGAAAGGTGTAAATGAGAGTGCATTTATTATGGATGGGTCAATTGAAAAGGTAGTTGATAGGTAGTTCTTCCATGAATTTCACATTATTAGGGTTCATAAGCCTCACCTAATTTAATTGAATTTATTTAAATTTTATTGTTAAGCTTGGATATTTTTTAATTTATCTATTTTTAGTTTTTAATAATCATTAATTGATTATAAATTTTAATATCTTTACGTGTCTATATATCTATAGAGTAGAGTTAGATACTAGTATTTCTCATAAGGTTGTGCTTGTGCATAGTATTTCGCTTGTGCATAGTATTTCGCTTGTGCATAGTATTTCTCTATACACAGTCTGACATGAATAAGGTTGCATAGTATTTCGCTATACACGCACGTGAAGCCAATAATGGGCTGGAAACTTCAAGGATTGGGCTGAACTGAGGCTAAAGATCGATCTGGTCTTGTGTCAGGTGGGTGGTTGTTGGATGCACACTCGTGGGCTTGAGGCTGCAAGAGTTCGTGGGCTGGGTCGAGGTTGGTCGGCTAATGGGTTGTGGTGTTTGCTGAAGGTTGGGTCTAGAGTTTGAAGACCTGATCCAATACGACTTGCAACTTCTTCTTCCTTACCCGAGGTTTTGCAGATATGATATCCTCTGCGTAGACGATCTTCCACAGACATAGACATGTTTCCACATCACATATAGGCCAGAATTTTCATTAATAGAAGTAAAATTAGAGAAATACAGACTAAATAAACAAAGAGCAGACAATAAACCTTTTCTGTAAAATGCGTTCCACACCTGTAATAGTAGTCCCCATTAACCTTCCCCACAATAAACTCCAAACCATAAAACAGATCTTTAGTTTCAAAATGGATACATAATTACTCCAAAATAACTAATATAGGTAGGGATCAACTACAATGGGAAGTGAGCAAAAACAGAAACAGAAACAGAAACACACTGCACAACCAAACACCTAAAAACCTTTCGATAAAAATTCCACAAGACAGAGACAAAGACAAAGACGAGGACAATCATAATTTTTTCATCATCCCCAAAGGTAAAAATCTCCGGGACTGAGCAAATCATCAAACAAAAATAAATGTGTACATGTCTCTTCCTTGCAGCATGCATCTTCAGCTCAGGCCCTGCGCTGCTGCACACAAACTCCATAGTGTTATCACCCACCACCCCTCAATCAAACAATTCCCCAACTTTCAAGTTTCACAAACCACAAGACGCCACATAACCCCACCCACCCCCACTTTTGACGACGACAGTGACTAGAAAACTCTCATTTTTAAAGGAAGAAAGAAAAATGCAAAGGGACTCCCAACCAAAAGTTCAATGTAGACGACCTCTCCCACCACCCCAGAGGAAATCCAATCCAATAACTGACTATTATGCTTAAATGTACCAAGGATGGAAGAGAGGTCAGCCTCATCAAAATCTCAGATATATATTTCAGTACCAAATCAGGCTACTCATCATTCTTCTTCTCTGCATCTGATTTCTTTTCTGCCTCACCCTTGGGTTCATCCTCTTCCTTGGTTTTGGCAGGTGTGTCTCCAGCTTTATCTTCTTCACCTTTCTTTTCTTCAACACTCAATTTCTCAAGTAATCCAGCTGCTGCTGATGCATCTTTATTTTCATCTTTCTTCTGTTGGGACTCGGCAATTTCTTGGAATGTTTCCTTGAATGTTTTGCAGTCTGAAGCAAAGAGAATACTTGTTACCAAGAAAAATTAAGCCAACTAGCATAGTTAATAAATATTTATCTTACGATAGAACAAAAATGAAAGGATGAACATTCAGAAAACAATGCTCTAAAAATCTTGTTCAATTAAGTATACACACACAAGTGCAGGAATTTTTACATTTTTAATACCTAGACACACTCCAAAGATGCAACGATCAGTTTGGGAGGAATAAAGGAAATAACGAAAATCAAGAAATGATAAAAATGAATGCCTAAATCAGAAAAAGGAAAAAAAAAATTGAGAGTACACGACCCTAGATGTTGAGAAAAGAGGTAAATTAGTTAAAAATAAAAAAAAGAAGAGATATAATAAGTTTAAGAGCCAAGCAATACATAGTGTCCAAGCGTTTAAATCTAAAAATGCAATTGAGAATCTCTACAATCTCAGGCACCAAGCGAACATGCCTGTCTCCACACTTTATAAGTAAAATGTTTAAGAAACTAAAGCTAAAAGAATTTATCAGCAGAAACAAATTCTTGTTGATTAATAATATAGTGATTACAAAAAACACAAATGAATGAAAGGTTACCTTAAGACATTTAACTTGAAAAGAGAAACGAAAGGAGTTAAAACATTTAACTTAAGACATATAATGAAAGGATTTCTAACACACCATCCCCAAAAAGAGAAACAAAAAAGAACAAACCTTGATTATCATTTATCCAAGGCTCATACTTATTGAGGAAATGAAAAATAACCTAATTCTGAGGTAAATTTGATGGACAGACGTACGTTGAAGAAACATCAACAAAAGATTATAACGAATGGAAATGGATCATTCTTGAAACAGGAGAGAAACGGTTTAGAATTATAAATCCAAGGCAATCGAATAAGATGTAAGAAAACTTGATTTATAATGTAATGAGCTTCTTTACTTGGTCTAAAACAGTTGAAAACAATAGAATTATGATCATCCAAATGAAATCAGATTTATAAGTACGTCTTATACAAAGTAGTCGATCGCATTTAAATTTTATCTTTATATGCCCTAATATAAATTTTCAGTTCTTCCGCCCCTTTCCCCACTTCTCCCCTACTTTGCCACCGCCAAAATTTTCTCTATTCGCCATTAAAACCACTCTCCTTTTCCCCCATTTTTTAAAATAAAATCTTATTAGGGGAATCTCATTAAACACCTATTTTTGATGCAGTAAAAAAAAGTAAGTCCTACTGACAAAATTATCCAATGAAAATGACCGAATCTTACTACAGATTATATTCATAAATTCTATGAAGCCATTTGGGTGCACAAAAGGAACGACTCTATCGGTGAATAGACTGGTGCTAGTACTTGATCTAATTTAGCAGATATTTACGGAGAAGGAAATGACCACAATTTCTGGGCTCAAAGAACATCTATGGTCTTTTGATATTACCAACGCTATCATAGATCAAAAGGATCAAAAAACTCATCAGCCAAGTTCACCCTACAGCCGAATTCCAGGGAAAAAGAATAACGAAGTTGTACTCACTCTCAATAGATGGGAATCTAATACAGAAAAGCTCATTTTTCAATTCGCCATCAGCAAAGTCAGCGGCATGCCACACGCATGATTTCTCATTTCCAGCGTGTTCTTGAACTGTCATTGACGAAATCACTACAAAGGCACAACAAAAAAAAAGAAAATAAACAAAAGAACTCAAGCAACTCAATTGTACGCACATAATGGGTATATAATCGAGAACAAACCAAGATGATTAGCGCAGATCTTAAGCGTCTTAGACTGTCTCATAACAAGGCGAACCTTGCCATTATTCTTATGTTTCAAAAACTTGACAGTACCAGCACCTCTCTCCTTCCATTGGTTTCCATCCTTATCGAATCGGTACAGTTTTGCCTTCCTAAAATAATCATGAATAATCCGCACAAAAACAAATCACACTCATGACTCAAAGCCTAGATTGAGAAAAAAAAATGCAGAGAAAGGAGTATAGAGAAAATCGTACAGATCGAGAATGGCGTCCTCATCTTCTTCACCGGTGGTGACGGCAACCTCCTCCAACTTGACGATCGGGGCAACTTGAGCTCCAGTGTCTTCATCATCTCCAGCAGGAGCATCCTCGTCCTCTCGGCGTTCGGGATCTGTGCTCGCCATAAATGAAGGTTTGATGATGCAGAAATGGATCGGAATTTGGAGGAAAGCAAGGGAAGAGTAGGAGTCGAAATTAGGGTTTTTATATCGAGGAAATAAAATGAGCGAGAATGAGAATGAAGAACCCTGCCTCCTCACAATTATCTTTCTAAATAAATAAAATATCACAAAAACGGAATTAAAAAATATAATTTCAATTATTAATTCTGTAGTTACAGCCAAAAAAAAAAAAAAAAAAAAAAAAAAAGAGTAATAATAATTTCAACTATTTATAATATAATTTCAATGTTGTTGAATTATTAGTAATAAATGCTCAAATTAGAAAAAATAAAGTTTTGTATTGGATGAATTTTTACCTTTTTAAATTAAAATATATATTTTTTAGTTATATTTCTATGAATTTTATTTTTTTATTTTTTTATGCTATGTATACAAAAATAAATATTTTAATATTAAATATTGTACAAATAATCAAATTTATATGTGAGGTAAAAAAATTCAAAATACATTATATGTAACTAAATCCAAAACACATTGTTATTTAATTAGTCAAATGTCTCTATTAAGAGAATGACCTTTCTAATGAACAAAGCAAACAAATAAGGATTTGATCGAGTTTGCTCTTCGGAGCTAAACACCATGTTTCCTAAAAATATGAGTATGAAGCTATGTCTCGATGCTAACCTCTTCGACAAAGATACACATAAGCATATGTTTTATGACAGTTGAACTATGGTCGTGCAGGACAAAGACAAGAAAACACAAGAAACATTATTTTTTTTAAGAAAGAAAAGAACTTAAATAGTAATAGTGCAAATGTAAGTCGGAAGCCCAAAACTTGATATCATTAGATAATTAAGCAAGGGCATCATAACTCGGCAAAACCTCTTCCATCTTTTTCTTAGGGTATTGTGTATCTTCTTCTTCTAGTATCTCACACAGGGGAAACAGCCTCCTAATTACTCTTTCTCTGCAGCTTTATCTTCAGCTTTGTCTTCGGCTTTATCTTCACCTTCCTCCTTTTTTTCTTCAACCTTTAATTTTTCAAGTAGATCAGCTGCTGCAGATGCATCTTCATTCTCCTCTTTCTTCGTTTGGGACTCCGCGACTTCTTGGAATGTCTCCATGAAGGTTTTGCAGTCTGTTAATACCCACACAACAATTCAATAAACTATCTTAATGAAGTACTAAAAGGATGAGATAAACATTCTATAAAAGCTCTATCTATGCTGGATGGATGGATGGATGGATGGATGGATGGATGGATCACAAGCATGATGGTCATGCAAATCCAGGAATTTCTACTGTTTTGTGATTTCAAACCTACCCAAAAAAACATGCTACACAGTGTTTGGGAGGATTAGATGAAATTAATAATGTCTAGAGATGGCAAACATAAATTCCAAAACAAGAAAATTGAATATCTTTTTACACTAAAATACCCCACGAAAGAGAAATTAAAAAGGAATGAAAAAGTAATAAAATGAGCTAAAGAACTGTGAGATAGAAAAGTAAACATTACACTAATAATGTGCAGCATGTCAGAGCACTAAGAATTGTCAAGTGTTTCATTTAGTGATGTTGTAAATCAAAGCTCACAACATGCTTATTCCCATGCTTCACGTCAAATATGAGCCACAAACTAAAATCCAATATCCTTTGTTGTTTCATTGGATGAAGCCATGGCAGAGAAGCTGCTTAAATTAGTTCGATGGACTTCATTGCTCACCACCCAAGGACAAGACAAGAAAAGAAAAGAAACGAAAGAAACCTTAATTTTTATCCAGGGTTTCCTATCTTATAGAGTTAGGATGTCTAATTCCTTGATAGATTTGAACTGATATTCATTCAAAACACAATGGAAAGCTTATGATGAATGGAAAGGGGCACCTCTTGCAAATGGAGAGTAGAGTAATA